AGAAGTGCTTTCAGAAGTGCCACCTCTTGTGGGAATTGCGCAGACTTCTCCGGAAGTCTGCTTCGAAACTCTGCCTGTTCCAGAAAGTCTGGTGGTGATGGCCAAGAGTTGCCAGAGTCAGAGGAAGCACCCTAGCGCTGGGGGGGGTGCTTGCAAGAGGACATGCAGAGTGGTGATGGCCAAGAGTTGCCAGACTCAGAGGAAGCACCCCGGCGCTGGGGGGGGTGCTTGCAAGAGGACACGCAAGACAGCTCATGGAAAGAGGACATGCAAGACAGCTCATGGCTATATGACAAGTGCACAAAGCTGGACATTGATCGCAAAAACTCTTCAGCTAAATACCTGGTCCAGTTGATTAAGCGGAGTCTCTGGATGGCCAGGACATGACAGAGGAAGTGCCCGAACCACCCGAGCGAGTGATGCAAGAGGACATGCAAGACAGTCCAAAGGAAGAGCCTGAGCATTCAGTGCTGCTGTGCACACACCAACACATGGATTGTTTAACTGCTCGGATACACTTAGCATTAAACCCTGACTGGCACCAGAGGTCTGGTAACAGAATATCATTCAGAGGAAGACCGAGCATTGCGCAGGGTGGGCACGGAGTACAGTTGCATGAGGACAAAAGCCCAAACAAAACCTGAGCATTTGCTGTAGATACCACAAGTGCACAGATAACACAGCACAAAGGAAGAGCCCGAGATTTCGGTGCGGCTGCAAGAATGCACATAAAGCGCCCGAGATTTGGGCGCGGTTGCAAGAATAAAGGGGGTCAAGCCATTTTAAGGAAACTTCAGAAAAAAAACAATAGCATTCAGTGTTTTGACAACCAGAAGCATTCTATACACCTCTTTGTACAGTGAATTGCTTTCTGCAGGATACGTTTGTTTAGGATATTCGGACAATTGACTTTAGACACGTACAGGACACTGGCGGCCAGGGGGGAACGTAAGGCACTGGCCAGGAGGTTTGATGTAGTACCTCGGTGATGTATTTTCGTTTGGCTACGTTTGCCTCAATAAAACACAGGGTGAGTTGCTCAGCGCAGCAGGTGGGAAAAAAGCCCTAAACCCCTAATGCCCAAAAACCCTAAACCCCTAAACCCTTGCCAGACTTGAAGCAGTCAGATAACTGGTCGGAAACATGTCTCCAGTATGTTGCTCGGTTCATGTGGAGGCTGGACTGAAACACATATATTAAATTAAAAAAAGCCCCAAGGTCCACATCAGATGTCCAGACTTGAAGCATTCAGATAGCTGTGGTCGGAAATTAGTTGCTCAGTTTCAGTTGTCTGCAAAGATTGTTGAATTATGCTGAACCTGCTGATGCGACGAGGTTTCCTCAGCGTGTGACGTTTCCTGGACAAGGCCTGCCTATTGCATCAATCGCTGAGATGACTATGTTGTGCTCCACATCAGAGAGCCCAAGTGCCAGGCATGCATCATGTCATTCATGCTACGCTGAATCATGCTTGCCATCTTGAGTCCTTTGCTTCTGACTGGCCTGGCTTGGCTACGTGCAGGCATTTTGCCTCTGACTTGTCCCTGTGGCATCCCTGCCTTGGTCCTGTCAGCCATGTCTGGTGGCACTGAGTTTGCAGACCTTGTGCTGCCTGATGATGATGCTGGTCACTCCTTCCTGTTGAGCAGTTCCCTCACTCTTACCACACCCCCTCCGAAGCCTGTGCCACGTGAAGATCCAGTCTCTGGAATCAAGAAATCTCTGACCTTTTCTGAGACTGAGCAACCTGGCTGCCTGGACTTCCTTTTGCACACACAGCTAGAGGTTGAGACATTTGTGAGGCCGCATGGCAATTGCTGCTGCACACTCTCAGGTGTTGTGGGAAGGACTGCTGTCGACAGTTTGCAGAGGGCAAGCAGTTGGACCAGTTGCTGCAACAGCTTCAGAAGATGTCCCACAAGGAGGAGAATGACAAAATTTTTCAGATCCTGAGCATGCTTGGCACGGACTGCCCGTCTCGCATTATAGTACTTACCAAGCTGAATGTTGTTGTTACAGCAATTACAGAATCCGGTTCATGCAGAGTGACAGGATGGCCAGGGCCGGCGAAAATATGAGCTTTTTGGACAGCCACTTTGCAAAGAGGCATTCCTGAAACTTCTCAAAATCAACGAGAAGAGAGCAGCATGCTTGCACATATCACTGTATGGTCTTTGCTGTATGCACATAGACAATAATAATAGCTTCAGGTTAACCGGCTGCTACAGGGCCTGGATGCCGGTGCCCCTCCACAAGACCTACGAAGACACAATGGGCTGCTCAATAGCCAGGCACTGCTTGCCCTCACGACAGCATTGTGAGTAGTGCAATTTTCAATTCATGACCCAGTTCAGGTAATGTGCCGGCAGACCTTGTCAGTCCATTCCTTCATGAACTTCGTGTATCTGAACCTGGTAGCATAGTTGCAAGAGGTGGGATGGGCAAGGTCATGTGTAAACATTGAAGAAACTTAGGCTGAGCCGCTGGCGGAGACTGACATGACAAATAGCCCATATGTGGCTTGCCTGCTGGAGATGGAAGGCAAGTGAAATGACTGATTGTTATTCATTGTTGCCTGGTGTGCTTTGGAGAAGCACAGTGCGAGGCCTCCAGGATGCTGCCGAGGATGAGGGACCTCCCCAGCATCAATTGGGCATGCAGGACGCCGTTTATGATGATAGCTTCATGGCCCAGCATCACCCACCCACGTTTGCTGTACTTGAAGGCCAAGGCCAGGTCGCCCGAGAAGTTGTGGTGGCTAAAACATCTTGAAGAGCAGACATAGACATCGAGTCTAAAGCCAGGTAGCAACAACATCCGGGAGAAGCGGTACTTGGGCTGGACTACGCTGACAGCCTTTCACGAAGAGTACATGATGTGGTGGGAAGGCCACAAGGATGCTGACACAGATCGAGCCGCATGCTTGAGCACCTTCCGAAAAGTGGTGCGGACATGGCGGCATCAGATTGGCTTCCGCAAGATCAGCCAGCATGCGAGGCCATCACACATCATCTCATCTCAATGACTCATGCACTTCATTGTTTTACAGAGCACAGTGCCCACTTCATATTCATTGCATTGCACATCAGTCTTCTCTTTGCAGCAGGTGTTCCCACTGCGCAGAATTCACTCTGCGCATCAAGCGGGCCACCACGGAGACTGAGAGGGCTGGCATCCTGAAGGCCCACGCCGACCACCTCCATGTCGTTCAAAGCTACAGAGCCACACAGACGTCACTGAACCACCTCTCGGAAGAGGCGTGCAGCTCGATGACAGGAGCTTTTGCGGCAGGTGGCACCGGCAGGCTCATGAAAGTGGATGTCGACTATGTTGACCAAGCAAAGTTTAAGGTCCCCAGGAATCTTGACCTCACCAAATCAACCGAGGGGCTGTGGAGGCCCCAGCTCCACACCGGAGGCATCTTGATTTGGGGGGTTCCTCGGCAAATCTCAGCATGTCAGACGTGACATGCCACACATCTTGCATTGGCATGCTCACATCCAGATTGCTGTAAATGTAAGGTGGCAGAGGTCTATATCATTGCCGAGGCCGACCTGCCGAAAGGCTCAGCTGCTGAGATTTCTCTGCTGGCCAGAGGACTGGATGAGGTGGGCACTGAGCAGCTTTAGCAAGAGTAGTGTATTCCTTGGTGTGTTCATGTGTTGATTGCTGGCATGGCTATCAACACATAGTACTAGTATTTATTCTTTGTCCTTGATCCCCTTCCATTCTTGTGTCTGACCGTTGTGCACAGTTGCTGCATAAAGGCTTTCCACAGGCACACCGCATCTTGAGCTCCAAGGGCATTAGCATGCCAGAGCACTGTGTGCTTGAGGCATGGTGTCTGAGAGTCTGTGTTGTCTGGCTGAATGGGAATTTGCTGGGTGTCAAAGCCTACAATTTCTGCCTTGCCCTGGGCAGACCGATAACACTTGCAGAGAGGGCAAGAACCAATTCATGGTCCTGGCAGAGGCTGACTTGGTATGCCGGCGCAAGTTCCCGTGCGAAATTACATTGACTCTTTTTTTAGCAAAGACTTTATTCCAAGTATCTTTGGCCAGCCAAGGTTCCGCTCATTCAGCCATCTGTGTGGCCCTGTGGGCCACACGCATGGTCCTTTGGACCAGCGCTTCTCAGTGGTTTGCAGTGGGTTACAGCAAGCCCCAGTCCTGCAGCATCCGCGGGACACAGTGCACATGACAAATGACAAGCTCATGCATTCATGATTGTGTCCAGACGATTCTTACAGCCTCTCTGCAGGATTATGTGGATGTGATTCGGGAAACGGTGAAGCCAACGCGTGGTCGGGAGCTGGTGGTGGATGTGCTGACGGGCGTCTGGGATTTCAAAATGTATTACCAGGGGCTTGATGTGACGATTGCAGGGCTGGTGCCAGGGCCTCGTCATTTGCAGACCCTCCATTCTTGGAGGATTGTTCGCAGAGCTGTGCCCTGGCTCTGAACTGCGTATTGCTTCAGAAGATGAGTTTGTGTAAGGCATTCATGCAATTCATCAGCCTAGCATCAACAAATAAGGACCTTCCCAGCTTCGACAAGAAGAGTGAGGTGGAGTGGCAGGTCACAGAGCTGCAAAGGAAGGAAACTTGGCTGTGCTAGTGCGAAGCATGGCAGTGTTGTCAATCTCTTTTGAGCACATGAACGGTCAGGACTACCAACCGACTCCGGATGATGCGGTGCTCCTGACAAAGGAGTGGATCTCGAGCCCAGCACTTTCGCAGCCTCCACTCTTGATCCTGCCGAAAGACCGGCTCAACAGACTGCCCCCGGCACTGCAACCTGTGATGCGCCACAAGTTGTCGGTCAAGGAAATTGCTGAGCAAATTGTCTGCAATTGTGGCATATCCTCTAGTGAATGACACTTGAACTTTGTGTCGCATAAACTTCTGTGCTCCTGGTGCACGTGATGTGAGGTTTACGAAGACAGCCAATTTCGTGCTCAAGGAGCCCTGGTGCCTGGACATAGCGAGCAAGTACCTCAAGGAGTGGATGGTGCTGCCCTGAGATACTGTCATTGAACTTGGAGGCTGTGTCAGAACCAAGAAGTTAGGTTTGCTTCCATGCTATTATTCCATGTGGGGTACCCAGTTGTTTTCACTTTCAGGCATGCAACCAGCAGGGTACGATTGTGGAGTTCCCAATGCCGCAGTGGTTCTTCAACAACAGCACGGAGTCGCAGGTCAATCTGAGTGTGCCTGAGCCAGTCGGTTGGGAGAAGTATGCACCTGGACCGGTGAGAATGGTCACAGCAGCAGACACAACAAATGCAGCACCAGCAATGAAGAAGGCTCGGAAACAGCCACCACAGGTGCCTGCGCCACAGGTTCCTGCAGTTGCCGTGGTGGGTGTCATACCCCGGGAGGCTGAAGTTCCTCTGCCAGGTGATGTTCCGGCAGAAGAAGCAGCAGCCCGCAGTGTGCCGGGGCAGATTCGCATCCCAGACTTGAGTGAACTGGGGTGCCCAAAATGCCGAGGAGCTTTGGCTGGGTGTGTTCAGTGTTGGAATGAGGACTATCGTCGAGCGCGCATCGCCCGCCTTCAAGCACAGGCAGCTAAAGCTGCAGCCCAGGCGGCTAAAGCTGCGGCCCAGCCTCGACAACAAGGTGAGGCAAAGGCTAAGGCCGGAGGCCGTGGGCGCGGCCGTGGTCGTGGCCGGGCTGTTGTGGCCTGAAAGATGAAGAGTTCGTTCCAGCTCGCGATTTTGTGGGATGGCAGGCAGTGATTGGCAGCCGGAGCAACACAGTATATAAGTTGACCACCATTGTTCATGCACGCTTGGAGCTTGGCAAAGTTCAAAGTTGTTAGCTGTGCTGGTTTGTGATTCCAGCTGCCTACTAGCCTGTCTGTGGGGTTTGGGCATGAGCAATGCCAGAGCTGCAATCCCTGCTAGAGATTGCAGGGGTCCAGGATTGTACTGTGAAGTTAGTTTGGGCAGCCAGACAGAGTTTTGAACAGGCACTGCACAAAGTGAGAAAGGCTTCTCGTCACAGTCACAGTGCATGCAGCTGGGATGAGCTTTGCAGTCACAGTGCATGGAGCTTCGAGGAGCTTTTGCAAGACCTCAGACAGGCCTCTTTCGTTACTTTTTGTTCAGTGCTTCTGTGAATGGAAGCAGCTTCCAACTCATGGTGTGCAATTCTCACAGCAGAGACTGCAGTAGGACACAATGAATGCCATTCCCTTGCCTCCGGATGTGGATGAAGATGTGGGACTCCCAGAAGTCACTTTGCCCACTGGCGCTGATGAAGATGGTGGTGCTTTGTTTGCATCACCTGGCAATATCCGAAATGCAAAAAAAACCGAGGGGGAAAGTGAAGCCCAAGGCTGCATTGAAGGCCAAGGCTAAGGCCAAATCAAAGGGAAAGAATCCCAAGGCTAAGGGGAAAGCAAAGTCAAAGGTGAAATCAACGCTGAAGGCAAAGAGGCCAGAGGCGAAATCAAGGGCAAAGAAGGCAAAGAAGCCAGAGGCGAAATCGAGGGCAAACAAGGTTCTTGGTCATGCAAGTGAAGACTTCCAGAGCAAGGCTGTCAGCTGGACTGGGACTCCTGCAGTGCCCTTTGATGACCTAGTGGCACAGGTTGCAGGTGCCTTCGCTCCGCCCATGACAGCCAGCACCGGGTCCCAGCGTGACCATTTGTGGGAGATCTTCTCACCTCCACGGGTGGGCCCAATCATCCGGAGCATGGGTGGCCGAAGCAGTCGAAGTGTGGATGTGAAGACCTTTTGGAACCTTCGTGATGCCAAAATTCAGCACCAACTCCTGTCAGATGTCATCAGTCTCCGGCCCTACTGCTCCTGGGCTCATTGCTATGACTGCTATGACTATCAATGCTATGCATGCAATGCTTGTACCTGGCCAGTCATAACTACAACCAAGTTCTACTGAGGCCTCATTCTATCACCACCGTGCACTATGTTTTCACAACTGATGTTCAGCAACTGGGGCAGAATGGACCAGACCAAGCGAGAAGAGAAGCTCACAGAGGCGATTCTCTTCCTGGACGTGTGCGTGTCTTGGTAGGAATGTGTTTGGTGCACCTGCACATTCTGTCATGTCTGCTGAGAGCCATTCAGAGTGAATCCCAACATCAGTCAAGGCTTGGTTGTGTGAGATTCAGACAAGACTTGATAGCTACTTTGTCTTGGAGCACCCAGCTGGAGCTTTGAGCTGGCAGAGGGCCAATGTTTCGTGGTTCATTTGGTGATTGAATTGGTCACTTTCTGTGCTCTTGAATTGTGCATGCTGAATCGGAAGCTTCTTGCTGTGAGGTGAAGAATTTGCCAGGTCAGCTTGTTCGATTTGACCAATGCAGATTTGGGCTAGTTTCCAAGAAAGATGCAATTCCGGTGCAGAAGTCAACCCTGTTTTGTACCAATATGCCTTCGATTGTGCAGAGTTTCGACAACAAGACATGCTTGGGTGATCACGATCACTGTCGTGTCCACGGCTCAGAAGGTGGCATGACAAGGTCCACGTGGGCCTCTTTTTATCCTCGTGGCATGTGTGAAGCATTGGCAAATGCCGTGATGGAGCAATGGTTGAAAGACAACCCTTAACTTAGTATGACTTGCTGAAGCAGGACGTCTGTGCGCCGGCTGTCAGGTACGAGCAAAAACATTTGTGCACTCGGGGCTCTAGTAACACCGTTCCTGCATGCAGTGCTGATTGAAATTGCTCCAACTCGACCCCGAGAAATCCGACCTAGAGATGGAGCGATTTCATTTGAAATCGCTCCATCTTGCTTTTCGCAGCTCAAATCGCTCCAAGTCGATCTACCGAAATCCAGGGTCGAGTTGGAGCGATTCCACCGGGGAAAAGCAAGATGGAGCGATTTCAAATGAAATCGCTCCATCTCTAGGTCGGATTTCCCGGGGTCGAGTTGGAGCGATTTGAGGTTGCCTGCCACCGTGCTTCCCACAGCTGCTGAGCCTCTGAATTTCTGAGTCTGAAGTCCCAACTCTGAGTGGGGATGGAGAACGCTGCTGACGATGAGTTGGCATTGGAGGTGTCCAGCCAGGCCGGGTGTTGCATCACAGAATCAGTCAATGTCAAGTGCTGTGACCACCTGCATCCTTTGCAGAGGCCCCATCATCGGAAGCCCTTCAAACAGCAGCTGACAAGACTTTGGCTTCGGTTATGGAGGAGTTGCAACGTGAAGCCCTCAACTGGCATTGCATGTACATGCTGTTCAGCAGAACAATTTTCTGCACTACTTAGGCCACGGTGGCCCTCGGCAGTACCTGCAGTATCTGTTCCCAAACCAGCCGAAGCGGCAAGAGTTTGCGAATTTTCTGGATGAGCAGATAAAGGAATCCACCTGGAAACACGTTCAGATGTGGTCAGACTTGCCTGTTGTCCAAGCAGGGGCCGAGGATGAGTTGGCTGCAGTGTGTCTGCACCCTTGCAAGTTCAGCTTTGCTTCGGACTGCTCGCGATGTGGACCGGTTGAGCTCCACAAAGCGCAGTCGCTCATCGAGCAATACTTGGTCGAGGGATTCGTGACTTCGTCAGAACCTTTGCTTGTGAGGGTGGGAGCAACTTGGTTGGACTCCTTAGTGTATTTGCCGGATTCACTGATCTCTCTCTCTCTCTCTC